TGCATCGGTGGTGAGTGTGTATCCACTTCATATGTGGAAGCCGTGGTAAATCTGGGAGCATGCGGTGGTACGCAGGGACTGTGCAGCTAATGGGATGGGGAAGACTGGGTGAAGGTAGGATGGCTTCATTTTAGCTGGAAAAGACCCATTTGATAAAGTCCAACCATCCACCTAATACTACAAATCCACCTTTAAACCTTCCCCCTCAGTGCCACAGCCACACATCCCTTAAATACCTCCAGGGACTGGGACTCCACCACCTCCCCGGGCAGTCTGTCCCAATGCCTGGCCACCCGTTCTGGGAACAAATTCTTCCTGACATCCAGCCTGAACTTCCCCAATACCACCTCATATCTTTGCGCTTGTCACCCAAGGGAAAAGACCACCACTGTCCTAAGCAGCATCCTCCTTTCAGGTGACTGCAGTGAGCTGTAGAGACAATGACCATATTTTTCTTCCACCTACAGGTGATCAAAAACCAGACATTGAACTGAAGGTCCTTCCATCATACCTCGTCCAATGGGTAGAAATGAAGCATGGTCAGGCAGGCGCCTCCTCCTGGATGGAAAGTAAAGGCATCACCTCAACAAGTGCAAAGGTGAGGTCTGGAGGGATGCCTGAGGCCTGGATCAGAGGGAGGAGTGCGACAAGACTGGGCAGCAGGCAGGGATGGGCACCATGAGCCACAGCCATCCCTGCAGGGATCTGTGGCACTCAGTGTCCTGCAGCGGGGCTGGCCTGTGCTGCATCCAGGAGGAGTCTCCTTATGTCCTGGGAAGCAAGCTGAGGGGAGGAATGTGGCTTGGGGTGTTCTTCCTGTGTTCCCTTCTCCAGAATATCCAGAAGTGGCCACAGTCAGATGTCCCAGCAGAGGAGAGAAGCTGTCGCTGTGTGAAGCAGGTAAGGGTTCTTACCTGCAGCTCTGCTTTACACCAGCCTTACTAGCCCTTGCAGGGCACAGCAGGCAGACCTCAGCTTCCACCTGTACCTTCAGGACCTGTTGTTCACAGCAATTCTTTGCACTCCAGAAGAGTTCAGTCTCCCTGCTATGCTAGCTCAGCATGCATTAATCCATTTTACGTTAGTGGCTAGACTCTTCTCCACACATTTGCATGCCAAATTTTATCTACACATTTCCTCTAAGCCTTTCATCTGTTTGTGTCCACTGTTTTCTCTCTGCTGAAGCAAGTTGGCAGCCAACATTTTCTCTCCCAGGAAACAGAAGCTTCACTATCTAGAATTTCCATGTTCAAAACACATCCCCAAAATCAGTGTATGAAACTTGTAGTCTGGGGCTTCAGGTATTGCTCTGCATGTCTAACCATTATATTTCCCGTTGATCCATCAATGACACATGCACTAAGTGGTGCCTTCCCTATGCCACTGGGGATAACTGTTCAGACCACCTTCCTGTGCCAGCATGCAGGATTTCTTGAGGGCACCATGCTTAATGACAGCAATGAGCAGCCACGTTCAAAAGTCATGAGCATGTATGTCAGCACTGAACCTGCCTGCGGGCCTCAAAAATGTCCCGTGCCTGCCTTGGAATCCAGGGCAGTTGACGGTAGTTGATTTTCCTGGCCTCTTCTCTGATGAGTGATGTTTTCTAGACAGCACACAGCAGGGTCTGTAGTGCTCTTGTTCTGAAGAGGTAAAAGAAACACAGTATGCTTGATATACAACCACAGCAGCAGGTAAATGAAAGCACTGGGCAACTTTCATGAGCGCTCCTTTGCTGAACAGCTGCTTCTCACCATGTCTGAGTAAGAGCAGAAGGTGTTTGGGGTCTGCTTGGTGGCAGGCAGATGAAAGAAGGCACCATGCTGGGTCACCTTAGGCCATGTGTCAGAGCCTGCACATAGAGAACTGTTTCTGCAACCAGGCTACCAGGCACCTTCCCTGCACCAGACCCCTGCCACTTTCAAAATGACTCTCCTTCACCATCCTT